TTAAGGTCCCTTCCCACCCAAACCTCTCTGATTTAAAATACTCAAGAGCATTTCGGTAATTCACACTCCACAGCAAGTGCGATGTAAGCCTTGACTGGTTTCTCAAGTGGCACTCCAGTTCTGCATGCCTTGGGCAGGTTCTTCGACTGTTGTTCCTCCTCGTCTTCTGGGCAAACAGCCCACCTGTCCTAAAAGGTAAATACAGAGATGTTTAGCTGACTCGGTCCAGTTTCACTTAAATGTGTTTCTGGATTTCTAAAGATGCCTGTTCTGTTTTGCACGCCAAATATGCGTTAGGGCGACTTCCCTCCGTATCAAATGCTAGCACTTTGATATTTGCCTGTCTGCAGGAATAAAAGCACAGGAGGGGGTTTGGGAGCATCTCTCCATGCTCAGCTGACGTGGACAGAAGCGATGGGGCGCTGTGGCTGTGTTACAGGCTCTCAGGGCGTTGGTGGTGCCCACGGTTCGTCTTCCTGGCCTCAAGCCTGTCGTCTGGGCTGCTGCCCTACGGGTGTTTCCCCCAAGGTGGCTTGTTCATAGCTTAGCTGAGAGGAATTCCTGAAACGCCTCTTGGTGAGGCCTTTTAAAAACAGGCGTTAACGGGAAGGGGGCAAACGGCAAACTCCGCGTCGAGGGGTTCACGTCGAATGCGCCACCTCTTACAACCACCGAATCTTCTGAAGTTATAGAAGATCTGGTTACTCTTTCTAGTGACATCTCCTCTTTTGTTTGAGACGATGAAAGAACAGTTATTCTCTGATCCAGGTCGGAGGCTGCAGCGTTCCGGCGCTTTTAGCTCAAAGGCCGAGTGGTCTGCGGAACGGTTTCGTGCCGCAGGTCGGGCGCTGAGGCAGCCGAGTGCCACGTGGCCTCGGTACGCTGCCGCTCTCTTCCTGCTCTGTGAACCCGGATAACCGGGTGGCTGGGATAACCTCTCCCTAGGCACGCGTTTCCCAGGAATTCAGTCAGGTACTTCTGGCTAGCGATTTGCTCGCCGCAAGCTGTGTCCGTCCATCCGTAGAAACGCTGAACAGGTCAGCTTGGGAGTCCTATGTCACATTACCTGGAATTACCTCTATCCTGGTCCAACCGCATTTCTGTGGTTAATGTGTGCTTGTGACAGGCTGTCAGCACGGTTGAACCCTGCTGCCCGCGGGCCTTGCTTCCTGTGGGGAAGCTCCGAGGAGCGCTCGGGCCTCCCCACCCGTGTCCAAGGTCACGCTCCCCAAAGAGGAAAGAGGAAAGAAAGACTGCAGGCTGTAAGAGATGGGGAAGGGAGTTTTTTAATGCTTGCTCAATGCCGTGGTTCAGCGTGTAGCACCTTGGAAGGTACTGTAAAGCCCCATGGCACCTCTGGAATCTTCTCCGTGGTCAGACCTTTTTTTCTCCAGGGATTCCTTGCTCCAACTTGGAGCTGTAGCTGCCTTGAATCCCATCGACGACACCCTCCTCGCTTCCTAGATTGCAGCTGACTGTTCATACTTCCTGAAATATTAAGGCTGGACTGTCCCCATTACGTTTGACTATTTGTAGGTTGGAATTTTGAACTTTGAATTCTGACTGGATGTCTGATTCTCTCCCTGAATGTAAAGGCTGGAGATTTTTTGGTTCTCACTTATCCCTCGATCTGCATCTTTTGTGTTTAGCATCAAGTTACAGTGAGACTTCATTGTAACAGGGATGGGAGGAAGGGAGTGCTCCAAAGGTATTAAACGGGTTTGTCCTTAGCTTGAGATGCTGTAAAAACTGGTGTGAATCTCACCTAAAACTCCCTCTTTTAGATTCTATTTTATATTTTTAGGGATTGATTGCTAATTCAGGAATGGGGAGAAAAGGGACAAGTACTTAGGGGTAGCCACCACTGATTTTTCTTGCAGCAAAGCAAGATGAGTTGTAAACTGAAAGAAAACCTCCAAGCCCACCCCCCCTTGCCTCAGATTTGCACGTCAGCGTCGCCCTTCCGTCTCCAGGGGCGTTGGAGGAGCCGAGCGCCTTGTTTTGCCGCAGCCTCCGTTCCCAGCTTACGGCAGCAGCGGTACCGGGGAGGTTGCTATGCTACGTCTGCCCCCAGGTTTGCGCCTGCCTATTTTTAAGCAGTCAGAAGGTAAGGCGTGCCTCTGCCCGAGTTGTCTGCGGCACCAGGAATTAGCTTCCTAGGAGAAAGAAGCTCTGGGTTTATTTGGAGACTTTGGGCACCTGGAGCAAATTGCTGTCTTGGTTGCTAAAAATGGGGTGTTTTTACAAAACCCCGATGTCACAGATTTTGAATCTGAGCAAAAGAACGTCGGCGTTTTGGGGGCCTTTCATTTTTTGAGGGGAGACGCGTGTCGCTGCTGTGGGTTAATTCAACCTGGCCATCCCGCGCTGGGGAGGAGTCCCGTTGTCCCTGGGATGGGCCTCAGGTGCTGGGGAATGTTGTGTCCAGCGAGGTCTTCTAACAGGAAGTTTTGTAAGCAGATGGTGGAATTCTTTCTTCTGGTAAAAGCTGCAGGCAGATGTCTGTTTTTATTTCTGTGATGCACGGTTGGATTCTCTTTAATTTTTATTTTTTAAGAAGAATTACGTAGCTTTTCTAACCTTGTGTCCGCTGTAGACCACAGACTTCAGGGGAAGTGCAGCGTGGCAGTGGTGGTAGTTGGAGTGGCTTCTGTGCCTGAAGTTGTGCAGAAACACTCGATTACTCTCACATTAACCATGACAAACGTGCCCTCTGTTCGTGCAGCCCAAACGTGAAATGCTGCGAGGGTGCTGCTGTTAACCACCTGCTTTTGGCTAAGCACAGTGTCGGCATCCTCCATTGCTGAACGCCAGGTCTGAGCCTAACCCTCTGCTTTATTTTTGCCTCAGGTGTGTATCTGCCTTTGTTATGGGAACAGAGTTTTTGTTGGAAAAGTCCTATCGCTCTGGGCTACACGCGGGGCCATTTCTCTGCGCTGGTTGCCATGGAGAACGATGGGTACGGCAATCGAGGTGCTGGTGCTAACTTGAACACTGACGATGACGTTACTGTTACTTTTCTACCCTTGGTGGACAGCGAGAGGAAGTTATTGCACATTCACTTCCTTTCTGCTCAAGAGGTAAGAAGGGTTTGTGTGGCTGGTGGGTTTTCCACAGCTGCTTCCGCGCCGGGGCCTCGGCAGCCCCTGCAGCCCCGTGTATTTTTGCAGTTCAAGGAGTTACAGGGCGTGTGCTTAATTAATAATTAATACCGCTGCCCTCCCCATCGTTTGAGGTGATTCCCACAAATCTGATGCTTATTTACAGCTCTGATTATAACTTCTCTGTGCGTGTGAAGCCAAGTGCACCTTGGAGAGGCCCCAGCAAGGTGGCTTCGGACACTAACGCGAGACTGGAATATGCCTTTTTTTTTTTAAAGGATGCAACAGGACTATTGGCCAGTGGTCACAGCACGCTCTACCCCTTTTTGATAAAGAAACTAATTTCTTTGATAACTGTGATAAAGACAGGGAACCGCCTAAAGTGTGTACACAGGGAGTGGGGTAGAGGGGGCTGGAAAACCCGCAGTCGTCGTGAAAAGTGCGTATCCTGCAGATAAAGGGGAAGTACAGGTGTTAAGTCCAGAGGGGGATGTCATTCCAGCAAACCACGACGTCTCTTGTGTCTTACAAGAGGAAATGTCTTGTGTCAAGACCGGCTGGGCTCCTAAAAACTGCGCTGTAAGGCCAGAAGGCTCTTTCCGGACTAGTCCGTACGTGTTGTGCCTACCATAAACCATTAGTTGCTCACAAATCACTGAAATACAGGAAGGTTGTATTGGAAATACATGCGGGAAAATTCTAGAAGGGAAGAATAGCCTTCAGATGTTGGTTGAAAACACGGTGTGGGTCAGGGGATGTTCCACGCCTCATGCTCCATGTGTTTTCTCTCCCCCAAAGATCGGTAACGAGGAGCAGCAGGAGAAGCTGCTTCGGGAGTGGCTGGACTGCTGCGTGACGGAAGGAGGGGTGCTGGTGGCCATGCAGAAGAGCTCCCGTAGGCGCAATCATCCCCTGGTCACCCAGATGGTAGAGAAGTGGCTGGATCGCTACCGCCAGATCCGCCCCTGCACGTCCCTGTCTGATGGCGAGGAGGACGAGGACGACGACGACGAATGAGAGGAAGTTGGAAACGCACCAGCGTCTGACCCCCCGTTAGCGTTGTGCTCGAGCAGCTCGTGGTGGGACGACCCAGTTGTAGGGGGAACGTGCCGTGACGGATTTTTCTAACCAGCATGGAGAGAGCGTAGAAGCTCATCGATGGTGTGAAGGGAGCGAAATGGGCCGGACTACAGTTTGTATAAACACAGAAAACAGCTAATTTTATTATCAAGACAGGAAAAAAAAAAGCTTTTTTTTTCTTTCCGATTGTAAATCTGTCTATAAATGTACCGCATGTGGTTGTGTAAGAGGTTGTGTAATAGGAAAAGTATACCAGCATCTTAATTACTGCGAAGGAACTTTTCCAGGGAGGGCACTTAGGAAAGCACACGTCAGCCGGGTATCGCTTCCCTCCGAGGGGCGCGTGCGGGAGGACTCGGCATCCCGTGTCGCCTCTCCGATACTCCGCCGCGTTGCTGCGAGCGGCCCTTTCGTCTGAAGTCTCACTGGCGCCCAGGTCAGGCTGTGAGGTTGGGTTTTTTGGGGTGGTGTTTTTTTTTTTGTTTGCACAAAATACCCGCAGCAAGTCGTGAGCAAAAATACATCCGTTACGTTACTCATCGTTCAGTTACTGCCGTGCCCGTGTAATAAAATCCAAGCTCTACAGAACTAATTGGAAGAGAAGCTAAATTTTTCATTGAGTGAAGTGGTTTGTTTCCGGAAAAAGTCTTTTTAGGGTATTTTTTTTCCTTCTAATAGTAATAGATTCCTCTCAGCGCACGTAAGAATATTTATTCGGAGAAATGACCCAAACTAGAGGGATCTTTAGTCCAGTGAGCGTACACCAAACCAAATCGCGTGCAGGTTGAGACTCTGTCTTGCCGTGGCGCCGGCCGGATCGTTCCGGCGTTCACCCCTTTCATCACCTTCAGCGCGGCTGCAGGTGAAAAGCCGCCTTTGGGCAGGTCGAATCCAGGGAGAAAGCCGTGCTCGGTGGTTGGAGCCGGAAGGAATCATCCGCGGTAGCGGTGTGTTTTGAAAGCACCGCGTCACCCATTTCTCCGCATGGGAACCTGGGAATGTCCTGCATGTTGAGGGATGTGGCCGTACTTTGACTTCTCCAAGTTTTCAGGGTGTGTTCTCTGGTAGAAGCTTTCTCGTATCTGGTAACTTTAGCCACGTGACCTGTGAGGGATAAAGTTCATCTAAAAACCCTCACTCGAACGCTGCGGGTTAGCGCCAGTTTTTACACATGCGGTGCCGTTGTCTTGAAGCACTTTTGGTGTTGCGGCGGTTGATGAAATTGGTTTTAATTAGAATTTGGCAGGAAGCCCTGCAGCCCCTTTTTTTTTTTTTTTAAGCCATTCAGAGCTATGGAAACCCTGAGGAACTTGCTGCTTCGGTGGCGTCGTGATGCGCCTGCCTCAGCGGGGTGACGCCGCCGTGGCGTGCAGAGGAACGATGAAGTACTCCACGAACTGGGCCGTGTTCCCAGTGCCCATCCCCTTGAGGTTTCTTCTGAAACGCCTTCACCCCTTTTGGGGCCGTTGGATCGCCTCCGGTCGGTGCACACGCTGGTTTTCCGGTGGCAGAACGCATGTGTCTCCGCCGCGCGCGTGCTCAGCAGGCAAACCCCCGACGCCACAGGGGTTCTGCACAAGCCCGTGGTCCCGGTTCCAGTTTGCTTCCTAAATGCGTATTTTTGGGGATTTTTGTCCTTTTTCTTACCTTGTGAAATCTTTTTTCTATCTTGCCTAGCTGAGGGCTTCAAGCTTTTCCTGCCAGGGGAGCTGGATGCAGGGTAAGCCGGGATGGGAATTGCCGTGATTCCGGCGGGTCCGCGCCGCGGCTCGGTGCCGTTGTCCATCTGTCGCGGTGCCGCCCCGCACGCTTCTGGCGGTCCTTCGTTTGG